TTGCCCTGAAAGAAAAAACAAAAACAAAACCCAGATTGGCTGTGATAAAGTTATTAAATCAACTGGGTTTTTTCCCCCCATTCAGTTTGGGTTTCAACTTTTATTTCTTAATTCGTAACAAATACATGATCAAATAGACCCAGTTCCCTGAGGAAACGACATCCACGAGTGTTCATTCACTCAGATTTAATTCAGATTAAATTTAGATTTAATCTAAATGCCATTCGGTGGTGTGTTTTAAATACATGGTTTAAATAAGAGGCCAATGCTAACTGAACAGTTGGTGTCCTGTACCTGTTTAAGAGCATAGAGGTTTCAGCATAAGATCCACTGCTTCTATACAGTTGTTACAGTAAAAGGCAAAACCCGAGCGCAGGGAAAAGCAATAGCAGTACTCACACTTTGCACATCTATAGGTGGAACTGTTTGTGTTGAAGTGCACAGTGATGATGCAGCTGAGACTGAAACATTTTGCTCCTAAGCAGCTATGTATGTATGACAACAGGCCTCTGATGTTGAACAACAATGCACATTCTGCTAAATTACATTTACACTTTACATGGAAGTGTTTAAAAAAACTCCAGACAAAAAAAAAAGTAAAATACATACACATGACGATCAGGACAAAGATTGTCAGATGATGCTCATATACTGAATGAGCTAAGCAGAGATGCCTAACCTACTGCAGCTGAATTCCCTTTTTGTGACAGAATTTAATTCATAGTTTACACACAAGAGAAACCAAAGAAAAAGTGAAAAACAAAACAGAAACAGATCTTTTTTTCTTCTTTTTTTTTTTAAAAGAGAAATCTTTGAAATTACGATGGTGAACATTTCACTTCATCCAAACTCTAAAGGTTTGGATGAAGTTTATAACACGTTTTTGCCCAAATGATATTAATCCAAGTGCCCTAATCATACTTTGCAAAACTCGATTCAAACTATGAAATAAATGCCCAGGATTTATGCCCCCAAAACAAAGATAATGCAACTCCATAACAAAAGTGAAAGTACAGATTAATCCATAATCCAAAAATAGACAAATGATTGTAACACAGTACCAAAAAAAGTAGAAAAAGACACACCAGCCCTTTGATAATTCAAAAACCATAATTGTTTTTATAACTTTCGACTCTTCTGCACACACTAGAAATGTACATCTCATATATGATCCAACCTCTAACATTATTAACATTATCACCACTAAAAACCGTCTTTTGCTTTGTTGAAACTGACACAGGACAGATGAAACGTCTCTCTTTCACTCAGTCTTTTTTTGGAAAGAAAAAAGTGTGATGAAAAGTCTTTGGAAATATCAATAATTGTAATATTGCATTGGATTCAATTTTGTAGGTTTTTTTTGCATTACATTCATTCTTAACCTCACAGGTCACCTAGAAAAAAAAATATAATTAATATAAAAAAAGCGAGAAAGTCGTGTGACGGATGTGACCAGTGTCAGAGCACACAAGCCAAATCGCTTTCAGTCAACATGACGACACACTTTAACCATTCTGCTAATGAGCACAAAAATGCCAATGTGAGCCATGCTTTGAATTCGCATGAATACAAATCATCACATCTGCATCCCATCTATAGAGCCTTCTTTACGCACAAAGTAATAATGAACAATGCATCCAAGGAAAGGTTTATGCAACATGGAGCCCAACTTTCACATGAATGCATCTGAATAGACACTGCTGAAATGGCTTTTAGCACTGGAGCAACCTTACATTATTATTACTAATATGACAATTTCCACTGTATAGAAAAAAAAAATCATAATGAATGGACCAGATAAATGCTTGAAGAAGAGTCAGACAGTAACAGTGCTGTTAGGATGTCTGAGAATTCATTTGCTCCATTTTCCCCTGGAGGAATCAAGTTTCTTTTTAATCGTTTTTCTTTCTGTACGGCGTCACATAATCTCTAATGAGCACTCTGAAGAAACCGAACCACTACAATTCATGAAAGGCAACCTGCTGTGCTTTACACTTACACTGATACAGTTAACCTGATTTGTGCAAGTTGGTTTAAAGTGATACTACAGTCTTCCTATACTGGTTTTTAATCTGCCTGTAAAAAAGTTTGCCCATTTCTCCACGTCCATGGCTATAAATGCACAATGTAAAAAAAATCTTCATACTCTTTCATATGAGAATGCTCATCTTTCTCATCCATCTGTTTGATCAATAATGACTGAAACCCATTTTAAAAGACTGAACTTTCCTCATTAGATTTTATTAGGGAGAGCCTTCAATCATTTACAGCTCCTTCAAAATCTAGTGGGGTGAGTCTGAAAGACATTTCATGGAGTATTACTGTAAATGCCAAATAAAGAGGAGTGAGCATAAATACAGCTCTTGACTCTTTGCAATCAGGCTACGTGTAATATAGAAATTTGGCTGCGTAAACATCCATCTTGTACAGGTTTTGTCATTTCATGATTGCTTTAAAACAGCGAGTGGATCAGTTGCACAGCTGCTATAATGTAGTACAGTATTGTAATCAGTCTTCCATAGGAAGAAATCTCCTTTTAAAACTGAAAATGTAAGCATGTACTTCTGCCTTTTTGGAGCCAATCTAAAAAGGCTTTGAATATGCAGATGCTTAGATTCATATGGTATCATGCATGTGGTTAGCTGTCCACAATAATCAGACAGATTCATGCCGTTTCTGATGTAGATTCTTTCCTTTTTTGTAATACATAAATGTAATGTTAATCTTTCTTAATTCTATAGTTAAGCTTTGTAACTGAAGTGCTATTTCTAGCATTGCAACCATCAACTATCTTCAGAGCGTGGCCATAGAGAGCTGGTTTCATGCATGTTTTTCCATGTTTTCTGCAGACAGGACATGGCTCATACAGTAGATGCAAACAAAATATTTATGATTTAAAGTTCCACTAGCAGCCCATAATTCTATAAAGCTTATTACTCACTAGAAAACAATTTGAAAGAGTAGAGAGAAGCACAGTAAGTAGAGGCGACTTTGCTAGATTTTCAGCACTAGAAGGCCAAAGCAGTATAGATCAGCGGTCCCCAACCCGGGCCGCGAGAGTTGAGGCTCAGGTGTGAAATTTATGGTTTTCAGGGGTTTTATCGGTTTTCAGCGTTATTTTATTATCGTTTTTATCGTTAACTCTGTTTTCCTGGGTCTTTTCACGTGTGTTATGAATAAATCTTCTAGTTTTATTTTGTTGTATTTATCCGCGACACCTTAACGGCCGGTCCGTGAAAATATTGTCGGACATACCGGTCTGTGGTGCAAAAAAGGTTGGGGACCGCTGGTATAGATGGATAGGGAGGTGCCAAACGGAGGCATTGCTGTTCCCAGTCAGCGTTAACAGCATATGATCCTGACAATTATTATAAAGATGCAATATTCTATGTAAATTCTATTAGTATGATATATTAACATTAATGCCAGTACTGTTAAGATAGATGAGAATTCAGTCATTTGTTTTAGAGGTAGCATGTTTGGACAAAACAAACAAAAAAACCCATAATGGAAGTACATCAAATATTCACTGTTTTTTGTTTGTTTTTTTAAACATAATCATATCCTTCTGCAGCATCATGGTTTCCCCCCTATTATTTACCAAGCCATAATGGCCTGACTGAAAGTTGACTGAAACTTGGCATAAATTACACTTAATTTCAATCAATTTGTAAAAAACACTCTCCCTAACCTTCCTAACCATGGAAATGAGAAGTTCCTGAGAACAGACTGATTTTGAAACAGGTCACATCTAATTATAGCAGGTCAACAAATCATGGAACAAATTTATCTGATGGTAGATTTAAAAAATAATTCTGTATTCTTCAGATGTTTAACATGATCTCCGATAGCCAATTAGATATGAGTGTGTCTTTACTTCAAAGCAGGAATATAAAGGTACTTCCCCTTATGGGTGTGTAACTGCACAAAGCACTAAATGCAGCCAGTATACAATTGCAAACCTCCCCACAGCTGACTGAAATTCTATGTATCTACATTAGCTGCAAAAGAGCACTACACAGTAGCAATTAGAGCTTGCAATATTCACATCAGCTAAGATATGTGCAAATGTCTGTTGAGAAACACATCCTATCCAACGCCGTACTTCTCCATTCTCTGAAACACCTACACATCCCATTCCACTCTTACTCAAAACTCTAGTACTGTGGTCAATATTGTAATCTGCAGACCTTGTTATTTATGACTATCATATAAAAGGAATAACTTAATTAGGATTAAACACCTTAACTGAGATTTCTGACAGAACACGTATGTGAGAGGCTAGCTCTGGAGTGTAGTGGGCCCCGGCCTCTCTTTTCCACCCCCTTGCACACACACAAAGCGAGGTTATGCTGAACCTGTGTTGAACGTTCATTTGAAGGGGCCAATGCACCATTTTGATGGCTTTTCAATGTTCCTTCTAGACTGAGTTGAATGCTGCTTAGTTTCAGTAAAGACACTGTAATAAAGGAGGATTTCAATTTGTGACATTTAAAGGTGAAACATACAAGACTGGTAGCTTAAAACTGCTTAAAAATGTACAAATTATCAGAAGATTGTATGACAGCTACTGAAGTAAGGATGATAACGAGGTAGCGCCAGCCCGTACTGAAGTGTAATACCGCACTGTATCTCAAGGTGAGACACTGAGTCACTGTTGAATAAAGCCTACGTCAGTCTAACATGAAGGAAGGAAGAGCTCTTCCCAGAGATTGCTTTTTCTTTTATAAGGAGTAAAACAGTGGAGCCCAACCTGCTATGGTCAGTTTTAGCCTTGTGCTGTTTGCTGCACTTATCCTTCTTTGCAAAGTAAAAGCAAAGTAAAAGCAGCACTACTTCCAGAGGAGCTGCTGCATGACCCTGCAAAACAACACTGACCTTTTCGAGAGTAAGGTGTTCAACATATTGCACCTTTAACGATAAATAAAAAGCGACCTGAGAGCGTGTGTGGGGGTGAACCAAAGAGAGCAAGAGTACTGAGCGAAGTTCAATGTAAATTCATTTGGTAGATGTGTGTCATAGATTTTTTTTGCGCAATAATACAGTATCTGAAACTATACAGCATTGGAGCACGAACAGTGAAGGCAAGCAGTTATCCCATGACAGTTCCATTGAAATTTACTGAACACACCTGAATAAGCTAGTACAGGGTGTGGGGTGCTAGGAGTTGATTATGATTTGATAGGCAGAGCCATTTTCTGGGCGTGGCTTGGCTTCAGTGGTAGTGGTGGGCTTCGGAGGCCAGTCAGGGTCCACACTGAGCTCCTGGGCAAGGTGCATGTAGCGAGCTTTGGGTCTCATCTTGCGGGGGCAACACTGGCAGGACAGACACTTGTGTCCATACAGATCATTGACTCCCTGTGAATACCACAACATGAAAAATAATCAAATAAGTAAAACTGCAGAAAGGTTCCCTGACAGACAAAGTTTGTGAGTTTTGTGTTTTTTTTAATGAATACTTGAAAATCAAATCAAACCAAATCAAACAAAACTGCTACATGCAAAATATAAATATGCTCATATAGTGTCAAAGTTGTAATATGCATATTTCTTGACACTGATAAACTATAACAACTGTGCGTGCATGCAGATTAAAACAAAATTCAGCATGATTCTGGTCTACAGACAGCTTAAAGACTGAGCCTTCTCCTTAAAAACAAGCTCATGGATTCAAAGAACAAACAGACAAAGGATCTTTACATTACAAACATAGACAAAAGGGTAACTTAGAAACCACACACTGACAAAGACATTTACGGTCTCACTATTCAAATACAAACATACTACACTTGATGAGATCCAGTGACAATGTTGAGTGATGCTAAGAAGGGCAGCAAGCAGAGGGCCTGCAGACTACCACAGCGGGTGGAGCGGTGGGGGGGAGGGGTGTGTGTGTGTCATACTTGCTAGGCAATGGGAAATATGTATTATTATTATTATTATTGTTGTTATTATTAATAAGAGTAGATGAATGTTTTGCTCAGCATTCTGCATGTCTATTGCATGGAAGCATATCACTTATTTAAATGACCTACAGTACAGAAAAACATTAAAACTACACACATTAGATATGATGAGATTATGGGATTACTTCACCGAAGGCCAGCGCTGCTTCAATAGCAACAATCTATGACATCCAGCAATAGTGTCAACATTTGATGTCATGTGGCTCAGCCTGAATAAAACTGAGTTACCACGTTTTTAAGCCCTGACCAGAGTGCCCGTTAGAGGGACAAAGGGAGGAGCGTACAGATCAGAAGACTGAGGTTTTGCACATGCACGTGGTTAGCAGTTACATTAGAAGAAAAAAGTGGGAACAGAGAGAGAGAACACCACACAAGAGTAAAAAGAAAGGGCTAGAGAAAAAGGTGTCAGATATTTCCAACCTGTGGTGCCGGGGCGGCAGGAGTGACGCCAAAGTTGCCCTGTTTGTCTCGGCTGAACACAAGCTTCCGTAAGACGATGTCAAGGATGATGGTCTATGGGATGGTGCAGTGGGCAGGGGAAAGAATTACAGAGAGTCTGGTTTGATTTCACAAAGCTCCTGTTATAGAGGTGCGCAACTGATTTTTAGTGCCACACTGCTTTAAAGTACCAAGTATAGCAGTTTTCTTTCCTTCCATGAAACTGAGTGTTAATCATTGCATGTGAGGTTAAAATTAAGCTTATTAGTAAGAAGGCCGTGCATGGTTATTGTCGTCTAAAAAAAAATACTGCAAGCTCTTGATGAAACAGAATCTGCTTGCTGTGTTTTTGTCCCTCCAATTCACTTCAAAGATGAATGGAAACTGCACTGTTAGTTTAGGAAAAGGCTCCATCTACGGGGGCATACTAAGCAGTACGTGAATGCAAGGGCAGCCATCTAAAAGGAGGGCAGAAACAGTGATACTGCTCCAGCGAGTCAGCAGGCAGGCATTAATAATCCAGTGTCGTGAAGGTTTACAGAAATAAATTCTGAAAAGCATCCTTAATTAGACAAACATGTGGAGTAAAATACCCACAAATGCACATATTGTAACAAAATAAAGTCACATTCTTTAAACGGTTAACTATTAAAAACCTCACACTTTGCTTCTTTCCATTTCTGCTTTACAACACAAAACTGATCTTGCTGTCCAGTTAAACGAGATAAAGATGAGCACACTGCATGAGAAAACAAAATCTGAACATGGGGAAAACATCAGCTGTTACCCAAGTGTGATCGTGTGGATCTTACCTCCACCAAAACAGACACAGCAGCATTGACTAAGATGATGAGGAAAAGTTTTAGCCTCCATTCAAACGGGATGCAAACAATCTACACAGACAGAGAAACACTCGTCAATGAAGCGACAAGAAAAAGTTATAAAGTTAGTCTTACCAAGACAGCCCTGCCTTAAAGCTTTATGCACGCGCAATACTACAGTAAGTCAAAAACAAAATCACAATCTCCATTTACATGAATAAATACCAAGAAAAGATGGAGCCTGAGGTGATAAATAAAGCTGTATCCTACACTAAAGAATATAAAGTGTGCATTTAATGTCTTCCCACCTCCATAAACCCATTAATGACGTCTACTCGGTAGAACAAGATGAACAGCAGGAAAACATATAAACTCCCAGCAGACAGCACAAAAGGCCCTGTGAAGAAAACACGCAAATAAAATTGTAGAGTTTACTTTTTAGGGCATATATATATATATGTACACACACATACACACACGTACACACGTACACACACACGTTAGGGAAAAGTTTCTTACAATTCTTATAGCTCGGCTGCCTGAAAGGTTTGCCTTTGGAGAAAACAATAGCAACAATGAGATACTGGAAGGAAGAGACGTAGAAGAGGCTGGTGTTCTCATAGTTTTGGATGTTGTGCTCGTCCTCTTCCGTCTCATTTTCAAAGTCCATTTCAATGTGTGATGTGAGGTTGCAGACACTGCGGGAAGACAGAGAAGTCATTAAGAGCATTTTCACTCTGTGGTCCTTTTACACTGCATCTAGAAAGTAATCACAGCGCTTCACATGTTCAGAATCTTGTAGCCTTTTCCAAAATGGATTAAATTCATTTTTCAACACAAAAATTATACACACAAATCCCACAGTTACAAAGTAAAAAACGTTACTTGAAATTCGTGCAAATCTGGTCACCTCCCTGACTAAGGCCCTGGTGGTTCAAAGTTCTTCAGTTTATGGATGATGGAGGCCGCTGTGCTCACTGGGTTTCAGTGCTGGAGAAATGTTCCTGTACCCTTCACCAGATCTGTGCCTTGATACAATCCCATCTCAGAGGTCTACAGACAATTCCTCGGACATCCTGGCTTGCTTTGCGCTTTGACACATGGGATATTATTAATTGACATGTGTGCCTTTCCAAATCATCCCCAATCAATTGAATTCGCCACAAGTGGCCTTCAATCAAGTTGAAGATCATCTCACATGATCAGTGGAAACAATAAGATCAATTCTGAGTGTCACGGGAAAGGCTGTGAATACTTATGCACATGTTATATATTTGTTTTGATTTTTAATACATTTGCAAGAATTTCATTGTGGTGGATTAAATTCTATTGTGTGCAGAATTTAATCCATCACGTAACATATAACATGACAAAATGTGGAACACAATAACATGACAACGTTTAAAACTTATAATGAAACCAAGTTATTATTTGATTTGGGTATTTGTCTGCTACACATTAGAAGTAATAGTCAGTGCTCACTCGGTAAGTGGCGTCCAAACTTTGTACCAGGGCTGCTGTTTGACCCAAAGGAATGTCCAGATCTGGAAGCCCAAGCAGATGAGGATCTGGGTCAGCACAGAGAACAGCAGAGGCCCTGAGATCAGACCTGATGGAGGACGACGGGACACCAGCTCTTTCCACGCTGGGTTCAGACTCACTGATAAGGGGCAGAGTGAATAGTGAGGATTATTACATTCAGAACAAATAAACACACATATCGCTTATCCTTGATACTTTAGTTGTACTTACTGGTAAAGACAATGAGGAGGATGATAGCAATGTCGATGAAGAGGAACTGGAAATCGCCAAGGTTACTTAAAATCTAAAAACCAAAAACAACACGGTACAGATGACAAAAATCTGAATTCACTGGATTTCTCATCTAACTAAGCAGGCAGTTTTACGTACAGAGTAGAGGAGAGTGACACTGATGTACTGGATGATGCTGTAGAGGGCCATAAACTTAAACACACAGAAGGAGGTGATAAGAGCAGCACGGCCCTCCCTGCAAAAACAAAGCAAACTGTGTCTTAACAACATAACTGGGGTAAAAAATTGCTCCCGGAACAACAAATTCAACTCCTCAAAACATTTGAATAATAGTGTGACACTGTGTATATTTGCCAGACTGCAAATTCAGCCTATAAGATACTTATTCTTAATACCGTTTAATTCATTTATGGATCAGCATGTAAATAAAAATACAGACCTGATGAGGTTAGGGACACAGGAGATGTTGGGGGTCCTTGAGGTGAAGGGAGATGCTACTGAGGCTTCGAGCTCCGACAGAGAGATCCCACTATGAGCCCTCTTCAAAGCCTGGGTGAGATAAGTTAGCATTATATACATACTGCTGTCAGATTGTGTCCATTACAGAGAGCTGTTGTCCAAATGATGAAGGTGTACATACCCCACAGTCATTCGCGCCATCGCCACACATTCCAACAAAGTAGCTGCGAGCACATGAGAACAAACAGTAAATCTTTACTCAGTGTAATGCTTTTTAAAGTCATTGCAAGATCAAAGCTACGATGCCACAAACTTTCAGTTTTGACTTAAAAGCTGATTCTGCTGCTCATTAATGACAAACTGTCCAGCAGCACACGATGGGAATGTTGAATAACAGAATGTTGAATGTTGAAAGTTCAAAGCTACATCCCATATTTGACTAAATACTCACTCGACACCCTGCAGCGTCTCAATCAGCTGGGTTTTCTGGTCAGGTGCCATTCTGGCAAACACTGTGCCGCGCAACACGAGCTATAAAGCAGAGCACACAATCAGGAGTCAGAAACAAAGACGTATTTGATGCAACTTCTGCTCCATTTTCGTTTGAACAGTTTCTTACCTTTTGAAGCATATCTGGGAAATGTTCATCGATTATAGCAAATGATTTTCCGTTCATAGCAAAGTGGTAGAGCTCTTGGCTTTTGGGATCATCTATGTGACAGACATCCTCCAGGCTTATGTTCACTTCCTGTTCCAAAGTATGAGAAATTTTAAGAAATGCATCGAGATTTTAAAAAAACCCAAAAAAACAAAACAGGAACATTCAATAATTACTAAAAACCAAGTCTTCGAACTGTTTTAACAATCAACAAAGACATCTTTATATTATTTAACAAAGGTTCTGAACCCACACAGAAATTCACTATTGAATGTTAAAATCTGCTGCATTTTATCTAATCAATAAATAACTTCTATAACTTGCAATCGATGTTAATCAAATAACAAGTAATGGGTTTTGGATGATCTGATCACACACCTTTGTTTTGTAGTTGATCTGCGGAAAACCTTTACATTTCCTTTAGTAGACAAGATACTGCTCAATTTATATGTGACATTACGAGCTATGTTTAGCTGAAGTATGTTCAGCTGCCTGTGTGTTGTACCAGTGTTAGAATTAGACCCATCGATTCACCTGAAGTCGGGACGCACTGCGAGGTTTGTCAGCGTATCTCCAGGTGATCTTGGCGGCTTGTCCATCGTGTGGAGGGAGGGCATCGGCAATTATGACTGTGTCCTGGGGAGGGATCATTCCGCAGTCGCGGGCCACAGAGATGGCCGTCAGCATGTTGTCACCTGCAAAGTGATTACGATATTAATTTTGCTATAACATCCCACAATTCAGTCATTTGCTTGTCATGTTTTCATCTTCAGCCTTGGGTTATAAATAAGTTACCCAAAGGTCTGCTTGGCTGTGACTGATGATAGATGATGAATTATGAAATACAAGCTCAGTGTCACCTCACCCTAAGTGACACCACAGTAGAGTTTGGGGGCTAAGGGAGATGGATGAGCTTGCAAAAAACAGGTTAAAAGTGAGCCAGAGTACGTGCAAACCATGGATCAATTGTGAAACAATCAATTCTTTTTAAGGCTCAAAGTTGAATTAGATTCACAGCCAAGTACAGTGAGTCTAGACAGGAACAGCTGGTTAAAGTATACACGCAGAGTAAACTATTGCTGGCATACCTGTGACCTCTCATTTGTTATGCAATGATGGAAAATACCAGCATGTTCTCACCAGTAACCATGACTGTGCGAATGTTGGCTTGATGAAGGTCCTGCAGCACCCCTGGAGTTTCTGGCTTCAGCTTGTTCTGCATGATGATGAGACCCAGGAACTCCATGTTTGCTTCTATGTGATCCCTAATTCAACGAAAGACATATGAATGTGTTTGTGTCTAACAAAATCCCCATATTAAACATACATTTCTTCCCAGTAAATTATCTCTCATTAAAATATTTTTTTGTTCCACACAGAGCCACTTCCCTTTATTTTCTTATTCAGATCACAGAATGCATGTATTACATCAATGCAAAGTACACTACCTGTTGATGTTCTGGACCTTGTGCCAAGTAAGTTTTGATTCGAGCCGCCGATGAGCGAGAGCAATGACTCGGAAACCCTGCTTCGTGTAGCCTTCCAAAACCGCTGCAAAGTTTTCTGGCACTGCAAAGAAATGAATACAATAACAAGAGAGCCAATCAGTGATTCATCAGTAACAAACAGCAAGAAAAGAAGACAGAAACCCAAGATTTATAGATTCATAGTGCAAGCACCAACACTAACTACTAATCATCCAAGGAAGAAAATCCCAAAAAGTTGATTCTGCTCATCAGAAAACAGTTTCCAGATGGGACAAAATCATTGATATACCAGGTCAAAGATACATTTGTAGAAAAATGTATAAAAGAAAAAATAAAACAAATTGTAAGACAACATGCACATCTCTACATTTTGGACACCTCACCCGTCTCTCTTCTGCAGAGACTAGTCACAACCTCTGGTGCACCTTTCATGTAGGCATCCATACGTTTCTCCCCGAGGAGACGAGCTACTACACTCATTCTCTGGAGCGCTGAAGAAAAAGGGAACTGGCGCACAATACCAATCTCATAGGCTGCCTGCATATGCACACGTAAAGACAAACAAAATAAAATGATTTGTTTATTAGAAAGAGAAAGATGAAATGCTAAAATCGAGTTAAAAGTATACCAGTTATACAAAAAGGCACTATAGAAATGAATAAAACACAAATACTCACATTACCAAATTACTCTTTTTAAAAATGAAATGAAATGAACAGTTAACTTTGACAGGCATGAAAAGAAATACAACTACTACTTACCGAGAGCTCATAGAGTTCCTATAAAAACAAAAACAAAAACACACAACAACAAATAAACCAGTCATTAAGAGTAAAAATACACTGTTCTTTTTAATGTTATAATAACATGGACACACACACAAAAAATGCACGTTTAGATGCTGGACAGATATATTCATATAATTTTATACTTTTTCTAGACTCTGAAGGCCTGTGGTGTCCTGCTAACAACCGGGTTGCTGTACATACCATGTCCTGCTCTGGTGTTACAGCAGGCTCCGGGGGCAACAGCTGCTTAGGCGGTCGAACGACAGTGGGCATGATACGATTATGAAGAGACGTTTCCTCCTCGGTAGCCTCTTCCAGGATCTGGGCAGGTAAATATAAGTAAATGTTTACATTTCATACCAAGAAGCTTTTTAGATGTGCAACATTAAGACATTGAAATAATGCTTACATGTCTTTTAGGCAGAGGTAACATTTACTTTGAATAATCTTATCCAGACATGCCAAAGACATACTAAAAATCAGAACAGCGCAGCTTTTGTATATGATCTAAAACTCGTACACTAGATTAGTACAAAAGAAGAGGACCTTTCTAATCTCGAGCCATCAACATGATTGGAATCATGTAGATGTTTTTGTGGCAGGTTATAAAGCAATAATGCGTTAATGCCCAGTTTAGCAAAATTGTACCCAGCCTAAATACTGACAGAAGGGAGAATAAAGGGGACGCTGCATCACAAAATGGATTCATGAGTCTCATAACTCTAGCCTGCCCTTACAGACATTTAGCTCGTGGATAGATACAGATGAACTCACCCAGCCTGTGGCCTCAAACATTTTGAGGTCCAGTGGGTCCCCAGACAGCTGGCCTTCTATTTTGGTAAGTGAGTGGCATGTGGCCATGCAAGCCACAAACTGGGACTTGACAAGATTTTCCTTGTAGGCATTTTCTTCTGACAGGTGGAAGCTGGAGAAGCAGAAGAAGTGGGCGGTGAAGAGAGATTAAATTATACTCCTTTAACTACATTGTGGGAGTCATAAGAAATTGGGATGATCTGATATCGTCGTGTTGGTGTTGTTCCCACATCATCATAATAAATGTTGTTCCAGGTTCAACATTGCAAGTGACCAATCACCTTCTTGTGACATAACACTTCTGCAAGCCAAGCGATTCGTTCAATTATGAAATTCCAATGTTGCAAGAACAATATGTATAATGCTTACCGTTCATTAAAGAACAGTATCCTGAAATGCAAAGAATTCAAATCGCTGGATCGGAGGACAGAGGTGGTTTCTCGCAAGTTAAGTACTTTTCTTTTCACGGCTGTTTTTTTTCCGAAGTCGCAACAGTATGACATCACAACAATGTGATTGGTCACTTGCAATGTTGAACCTGGAACAACATTTATTATGATGATGTGGGAACAACACCAACACGAGGATATCAGATCGTGCAAGAAATTGATTGAGAAATGAGCATTTGCAAGATAAAAACTTTGAATCTATCTGGTAAATAAATGATTAGGCCTTTAAAATTCAGAGCTATTACAATTCAGTATTCTAACGATAACCTTAGTACTAGAAAAAAGACATATCATCCAGCCACTGCTTATTACAATGCATGATCAGTTTTAGGCATCACTGGGAATCTCAGAGACAAGCAGATTTCTTGGTTTCTGCTCGTATCCAAATTTCTTCTGAGCTGTTTGAAACAACCATGACAGGAACAACACATCCGAGTTGATTAAAAGACTAGTAAATGTCTATGTAATTTAATGTTAACACCCCAGATCCTCAGTGTAATTTGTGCATTTACAGCAACTGTGTCAAACATAAGGTCTGGGAGCCAGAATCAGCCCAGCAAAGACTCCACTCCAGCCCACTGGAAATCTTTGAAAACTGAAATGAAAACTTTATATTTTGTAGTTACTGAATTTTACACATTTATCAGAGTTTTACTGTTCTGACCCATTTAAGATCAAAGTGGGCAGCATGTGGCCCACAATGTAAAATGAGTCTGACATCCCTGATTTAGAGGGATATGAAATGTTACACAGATACACTCCAGTATATTCTAAGCTCTTTTTAACAGTTTATCAGTGGCTGAAATAAATGACACCTTCAGATTTTTAGTTTCTTTAGGCTACAACATGCAGTAAAATAGGCTCACGTTTACTAATTTAGGGCACAGAGCATCTTACCTGCCATTCTCAACCCTCTGGACTCCCCACAGGTCTAACCCATCTTCTGTCAGAGTTCCAGTCTTTAAAGATAAAAGATAATGAAATTCAACTGAATCAACACGGGGTGATCTTTGCTACCACATATGACATGGCACTAAAATTCTACAGAGTGACTTAAGCACCGTCTTTTACAACTGATAATCTGAATAAATTAGAGACTCACTTTGTCAAAGCACACCAGATTGATCTGGCCGCAGATATTAATTCTCTGTGGGCTGATGCAGAAAATGCCGATACGTTTTAGGCGTCGCTGTGCATACACAATGCCGGCTGTCATAGCGGCTGGCAGCGCCGGTGGTACTGTTATGGTGACAATGTCCAGGGACTCAATGATGATGGTCTTAGCTGGCACCTAACAAACAAAAAACTGCAGATGTTTGCATGTTTGACAACCCTGATTCTCGACAACTCACAAAGAGCCCATGTTCTTCAGTGCTAAGAGATACACAAATGTATGAGAAGACTGTCAGTTTTCTGGAGAACAAAATATTTGTTTCTACTGGCCACAGAGGATGACTCACTCTTAGAACAGCTGCCTCAGGCATTTCAACCAACCCGATTAAATTGTATTGCATTAAAAAGGGAAACCATCTGAAAACGTAATCATCTTACAAGATTTTTTGGAGAAAAAGAAAAACTGAAAGAGCAGACCGATCATTCTCCTTTAACTTTCTGCATTACCTCGTTCATGATACTGAGTACAATGGAGTAAACAAAGCCGATTCCAGCCACAGCCACCAGACACAACAGGAAGAGGTAGGCATCGCGGTACAGCTTGAAGTCGGTGGGTTTGGGATAAAGGATGGAGCGCACCAGCTGGCCTTTAGCTGTGCTGAAACCTGAGTGAAGAAAATGAATTTTTGGTCATTTTTAAGTCTTAGGCCCTTTCTCAATTCTCAAGTACGCGAGTCCGTGCTCGCGTTCTCGGCGAGTCCGGACTTGCCGAGAATGCGAGCACGGACTCGCGATTTGTACAACTGGAACACCAGCGTACTTGATGATGTCACAGGTCCGGAGTTTTTACTGCCGTCCCCTCTTAATTTAGCTGTGAGTAATATGTTATGAAGCTTAACTTTAATCACAGCCAAACCGGTTTACTCAGGAACAAATAAAACACTGAAATAAACCAAACATTAACATTTAGAAGTGAACGAAGTGACTTATATATCATGTTTAACCTCAGTAGCGAAATCTCTATTAATAAAAATAGTGTACATGTGTGCCTTAATAAAAACAAGCAGGTGAGATGTTAGAATGTTTTTATTTTTATTTTAGTGGACACTCAATACAATAGACAGCTGCTGGGGTTTGTTTAACCTGAGTAGCGAAAAGACCGCGGGGGGGTTGAAAACGATGTGCCGGGAGTCCGTGATCCTCGACCTCGCGGTCTGCTATGGAGCTGGCGGGTCACAGACATCTCCGAAAACGTCAGAGCACGTTTGGAAATATATAATATCTTGATAAATCGAGCAGATATTTGAAGTTTACACAGCTATTTGAAAATAACTTAAAAGTTTATTTTGTGACCCAGAAAGAGTAATATTTAAAAGTTTTTAGCCGCGCTCGTCCACCATTGCTGCGTTTTGGACGAAATGCATTCTGGGTTATTTAGCTGTACCAAGTCCACACAAGTCACCACCGATGCATGCGCGACAAAACGGGCGGAGCGAGAACACATCCGGGAATTTTTCGCTTTCTCGGCTTGATGCGTACTTTGAATTGGAACAGTACTTGCTCTCAGACTGATGACGTATCACGAGTACACGAGAACGCAAGTACGCATATTGAGACAGGTCCTTACTTTCTTTCATTCTGTCATTTGAACTGAGGCAAAATGTTCTGACCAAACGGACTTTTATAGATCAAACAGCAAGCTTGTTGTTCTAAATTGACAAACCATTTTATTCCAGCCAACTTTATCAAGCTCCCACTTTGCAGTAAAGTAAAGGATTTCATTAGAGACTATGTCACTAACTTAAACATATGGTAAATGTCCTGTATTTGTATAGTGCTTTACTTAGTCCCTTGGACCCCAAAGCGCTTTACACATTCAGTCATCCACCCATTCTCACACTCACACACTCACACACACACACACACACACACTGGTGATGGCAGCTACATTGTAGCCACAGCTGCCCTGGGGCGCACTGACAGAGGCGAGGCTCCACCAGTAGGCAACGGGTGAAGAGTCTTGCCCAAGGACACAACGACCGAGACTGTCGGAGCTCGAACCAGCAACCTTCCGATTACAAGACGAACTGCCAACTCTTGAGCCACGATCGCTCCATATAGGCCAAATCTCACTGTTATACTGTAACAGTACCCCATTTCATTTTAAAAGATCTGGATTATTACAATCACATTAATCATTAAAGCACTTGAATCCAGACCCCCAAACTAACCTGTGCGCACCACTACAGCCTTGACCAGTTCGCCTGTGTAGAAGCGGGTCTGGATAACATTGGTGCCACAGAAGAGTGTGTGTCTCTTATGCTCCTCTGTGTTGTAGGCACTACCAGCCTCCTCCCCCCTGTCCCCTGGCACTGGGTTTGGGAGGTTGGTCTTTGTCACTGGAACGCTCTCACCTAATGAGGATTAAAAGACATTAGCACTGCGTCCAGAAATACATAAGAGGAAAACCAGACTGTTTGGAACTTGCAAAGACATAAAATTTGAAGAAACAAGTCTTTACATGTGCTTCTCTACCAACCTGTAAGCATGCTTTCATTGACGATACAGGTGCCACTGACCAACACGGCGTCACATGGCATGATGGTCCCATTGCTGGGGATGACTATCACGTCACCGGGCACCAGATCAGTAGACAAAATTTCCTCGATATCTGCCAGGAAATATGTGGTAGAAACAAAGTGAGTGAATGTGTGCAATCAGATACAGACATCATACCTAAAACAGGAGAGGTGAGAAATGTATTCCAAGTGTAGACAGTGGACATGAAAGGCAACAGGGATGAGGAGATTGTAATAAACCCAAGGCAGACCCGACCACTCGCTCATTCTTTTCAACATATTGTTGTCGTCCTTTACAGACACACACAACAACAACAACAACAACAACAACAACAACAGTCAGTCAGCACAGAGTTGCAGATGCCGTGCAGGTGTGTCCACCTCCCCTGCAGCAGCACTGGCAGCAGCCCCGCCACAGAGATATTTTGTGTTTAAGAGCCTCATAGTCTTGTTCAGCACTTCTCTCATTAATAATGCCTCTCTACGCAGCAGTGGAAAAAGCTGAGGCATCATAAGCAGTACCTTACAGCGTATGTGCCCCCACAGCTATGTCTGACAACTCTAAACCCAAGTTCAACCACCCTCCTTTGGACAACTAATGACATGCATTTTGAGATGGTGATGGTATTGTCATCACTTCTGCAAACACAAACAGAACCTTTTGTGCAGAATAACAGACCAAACTGTCCATCCTTATTGTCATATAGACTCTAACGTTGCAGTGTTTCACAGCAGAGGACATTTAGAGGGCAGCCAGTGCAGGGTTGGGCTCGGCATAAATGCAGAAAAATCCCCGTTGTCAGATTTGGATTGGAAATCCCTTTTTGAAACTAGCTGAATATAGAATACCTGATGTATTTTTCCTATGAAAATCATTTTTGCATCTCAAACAAAAGATAAAATCAAAGAAAAAGTTTTACAAACCATTATTGGCTCGGCATACGGACACACGAACAATACTGTGAGCTGCCACCATGTCATGAAGCATGACGTATTGCTGGAGAAAGAGAAGAAAAATAACAATGATTAAAAAACCTTTTTAATTCCCATGAACATCTGTGAATTGCAAGGATGTTTTCATTTGAGTTAGTCAACCATGAGCCAGTAAACCACGTGCATGCGTTGGCCTGAAAACGCTAGATTAGATACTCAGTTTAGTCACTGGTATAAATCATAATGGTAGAAGGAAATAAGAAGGGGAAAAAGGTCTTCAACAGGCAGTCGTCTGATTCTGTGGTACTTAATGTAATGTTCCATATAAATGAGTCAGCCTTTGAAGACGTTTATCTGAGACTGAAAACAAAAACAATCGTGGGAACGCCATCAGGCAAAAACACAGCTGGACAAACCGGGCTTAGGCCCCATTGCTAATGAGGTGGGAAAAAAGCAAAAGCTAAGTAAGCAGTCATCATTGTGTTTTGAAATAATGATACAATAAGTAAATCTAAGGATACGTTATCAGTGGCTGATATGACATAAATACTTGAATAGTTTAAGTTATTCCAAGGATGCCGAAGATTTTCAAAACAAGTGTTTATATTAGAAAAAAAGAATCAACCTGTTTCTTCCTTCACACATTTGCTGATTAATTCTGTGTTAATAGAGCTCTGTGCTAAAATTTAGCTTCATTAAACAAAATCTAAGTATTACAGAAAAAGAAAGTGAACTAATTTTCAATCCACTGACTTAAAATTGCTCCTGACAGAAATACGAGTTCAATTCAATCTCATGATGTTGTAGAGCTCACCTTTTTGATGGTGTACAAAGAGGTAGCTATGGATATGACCGACATTAAAACAATGGCCGCAGCATAGTAGTAATACTCATCGGCACTCCACAGGATCACACTGAAGAGTTGGAAGATGTAGAAAGGGTTGAGGACCTGCAGAAGGATTTAGAGAGGAATCGGTATGGCAAGCAAAGAGGTCAAATAAAATAAAACAAAACAAAACAAAGAGAGAAAAACGGAGAAAGATCCAGAAATCACAAGAAAACAGAAATATTTGAAAATGTTCAACCAGTACAATTTCCTTAAATATAAAAAAAAAGAAAAGAAAAATTTTAAACACAGTTTCATTCATCATACGCTGAAATGATTAACAACCTACTTCAGCTAATCGCATTAACATGAAAAAGTAGCAAGACAGCAGTACATAAGCACGACTCTGTTCTGACAGAAGAAAAGGATTTCTGTTCTCAAATTATTATACGTGTGCCACACAATAAACTAATTCACTAATATTTGATGCAAGGTGTCAATAAACCCACAAGATGAAAAGATGTCTCACACAAATTCATGCTGCATACAGAAACTCAAACTTTGCTTTTACCTCTTTGATAAGCAGCTTGAAAACAGAAGGCACTTTCACTGCAATTTCATTCACTCCGAAGAACAGTCTCCTAAAAGACAGGAAGAAAAATTGTATTTAGTTTGTGTGTAAATACCAAAGACTGTGGATATTCCTCCTCCACTGTTCATTAACTCCAGTTACAATATCAGGGCTTATAGTTTTTAACCCCAACAACTGAACAACAACAACTCCTTGCACCTACAGTGCCGTACAAACTTGAGTGACTTTGTCTTTTGATTGAATGTTACCTGTACTCCTGCTGGTTCATAGTCAGGCCTGTGCTGTGCTCCGAGTGGAGGGTGGAGCAGCTGACCTGCAGATCCTCCAGGCCACTGTAATAGGAACATTGGAGGAGATACTTTAATTCCACATAACCGCAAAAGCAAAAGCAAAACAAGCATGCAAGTTGCTATAAAATGAAAATCTTGTCCCCCTCAAGTTTTTTTTGTTAGTCAACATACAGAGCAAGAGACATATATTTACTTGTCATTACTGCTGTGTGCAACCTTTGAAGAGTTTACTTAAGAGGATTCTGCAGTGAAAATTAAAAGTTATATAGTTATAAAAGAATGCTTACGTTAAAACCTCAAAGTTCTGCTTCTCGTCGTTCCAATAATACTTTGTGCTATGAAAGGTAAAGTAGCGAATCTGAGGGGAAAAAAAGAGCAAAGGGAACAAAATAAGAGACAGAATTATTTGGCAAAAGTAATCATATTTGTATTGTTGTCCATAAAACAACCCTTCTATGAACTTTGAAAAACGACAGTCACATTCATTTATGTGCTTAATGCATTTCCAGTTTATACTACAGATTTACGTTGAGACAAGTGTTGTGCCTACCTGCGTGGGCTGGTAGTCTGCAAATTTCCTGATTAGCTCCTGAGCAGGGCTGCCATCGGAGGGATGAATGGTGTGTCCGTTGGCCTGAGGTGGGGAAGCAGAGGAGGAGAAGGGGTAGGAGAGGGAGGAAGGAGAGGAAGGGGAGGAGGGGGAGGTGGTCTGGGTCTCCAGGCTGTGGAAGGGGTTTCTCCCTGGGGCAAGCATCACTCGCACCCTGGCCAGGAACCAGCGCCGGAACTCATCCTAAACCACCCAAACAAAGTTAATCTAGTGAATTTCTGAGAAGCTTCATTAAGTAACAACAAATTTCCCCCCTATTAAGTGCAACGTTTATGAGGAGGAACAACATTATTCTATATGTCTGTCTCCATTTTTAGTCACTGGGAAGTGGGGTGAGAGCTCATAACTATATTTCCATTAATATAACGGAAAAATACAGATGTGAAATTTTTTATTAAAATAATAATAATAATAATAATTAAAGCTGCAAGCAGCGTTATGAGGGCCCTTGCACCCCGGCACGTCGAGCCACGCCCAACACCTACAACCAGCACGTCCGATCTGATGTCAAATTGATGGAATTCATACATTTAACCACCAGCTAACATTTCATCTCATTCGATCATGATTATAGTCGTCCCACTAGGTGGCACTCTAAACATTACTGACAAATGGCATAACAACAACTATTTCTGAGCTCGAGTCTCATCATGCCTGCGACCTTTGTGTGAGATTGGACATTGTGTTTTTGAGTGACAGCAGATTACTGCTTTTTGGCGAGTGTTTGAAACTTCACGTGCCGTAATGACCACCCCGTTTCCCTCAACGTAAAAAGCTTCGCAATTTAACATCACAAAGGTCTTCAGATTCCACGCACTGCAGATCACGTCAATCTGATGAAAATCTTTGGAGGAGTTCGTTAAATGATTTGAAATTTTGTAGGGGGCGCTGTGGAGCCATTTTGCGCTATTCAAGGAAAGTGATCACATAACAACAAAGCCTGAAAAGAGGGGAAAGTGTCGTGAAAATTACACATTCATCTTAAAATGGTTGACTTTCTGTTGGATTTGGGATATTGCTCCAAGAGACTTTTTTTTACATCTTGATATCTTCTACAAGCTTATCAGGTTTCAGACTCATAGATAAAACACAGAGC